TCAAAGGACAATTTATACATGCATGTAAAAAATTACTTTTATAAAAATCCATGGGTTGCTACGTGTATTGAGACTTTATCCTTCTTTAATGATAGTGCTGTACTAAATCTAATAAGCCCTAGCAACCTTGCAGCAGGAGAGGGAAAAGAAAACAGGTCCTGCTCCAAATGCAAGTGAAAGGGTTGTGAATCTTTTATTACCTTGTAGCAGTACAAGGCCTATGATATGCAGCTGTGTAGTTCTGATTTCTATCTCTGGAGAGCTGCAACACACACCAAAATATAGCAAATGTCATAGGGGTTACAGTAGGGTTACAGGTTGTAGATGTATTGGTCTACAGGCAAAAGGAATCAGCAAATAAATATTTTTTTTCAAATATCCAGTTAATCTAATAAAAAAATATCACCTCTGCCATGAGTTCTGATTTCAAATGTCATATGCATTTTAAAACTCAAAAGAAACAAGCAGCATGTTGTGTATGTTACAGGAGTCTGTGAGAGGACATGTTAATTAGTTAAGTAAGACTAGAAGTTTTGCAGTTGATGTAATGGTAGTTTGATTTATCGGGTTTTACATGTGTGGTCAGTTTAACAATGGTCTAATAATATTTCCCCAACCTATTTTTGTAAGTAACTAGCAAGAGTCACCACCAGAGAACTGTGAAAACTACCGGCTTCTTTCATGCTGCTGATTAGAGTTACTTTGTCCCAACTTTGTCCAGATCCTGGGATCTGTCCAGGGCCTGTCTTCAGACTGCACATTCCCCTGGAAAGAGCAATAAATTCAATACTCTTTCTTTGAGGTTTCCCCATTACAGAGATAGTAAGAGACCCTCAGTTTTTAATATTTTGAATTTAAATTGGTCCAAGTAATTTGGTGTTTCAGTAGTTCCTGTTTCCACAGCACAGATAGCCCCTTTACTGCTTCCCTACTGCTGTTAAGTAGTATCTGTTTGGCAACACTAGGGACCCTGGTAATCACCCCTCCCCCTCCAATCTTTGGGTGGGTGATTCTAGTGCTACTAAATGGTTTCTAAATCCTAACACGAATTTAATCCCATATGATTTAATTTTGGAAGGTATCTGTTTCTCTATCAGCAGCAATTAGTTTTGAAGTCATCTACCCAGACTAACTGTTCTTGACTTCTACCCCTCCACCCCATGGACTAGGCAGTAGATGGAAGGACTTGAAAAAGACTGGGGAAAAGGAACTGATATGAAAGGCCCGATCCACAGTTCCTGCTTACCTTTGTGGCTTTGTCTCCCAGTGTCCTGGGAAAGGTGGTACACCTATTGCCAGCTCTGCAGGAGACAGGTGTGCCTACATGAAGCATCTGGCTGCATAATGGCTTGTTGGATTTTTTTTTCTGACAACCATTTCATTCCTTTGGGTACCCCTGGCCATTTGTAGATCTGCTCACTGTTTTCAAATTCCATCACACAGTTCAAATCAAGTTTAAAATTCAAATTATACTGTAAGAGTTAATAGACAATCACTGACCATCAGGGAGATTTTCTTGCATTTTTGCACTTTAGTAGAGACAGCAGGGGGTGCTGGACACTGCCCACCACGTACAATCAGTGCCACAAAACTGCACTCACTACACCTGGTGGTGGGCATTGTGGCGGGTGCAGGGACCCCACCTCAGGAAAACAGCTGGGTATTCGTATCCCACCACTATTTCCACCACATGAGGCAGGCCAGTAGGGGGTGCTCCTGCGTTGAGCCGCCCACCTCCCTGTGCCCAACCACCTTCCAGGCTCTGAATGCCTCCCTAGGGGCGCCTTATGTCCAGCCAACCCCTCTCCCGGAGCACACTCGCTAGTCTGCAGGGTAACGTGCTGCCACCACCCCGAGTGGACTGTTTCGGCCCTGTATCCTTGGGGAAACACAGACCTAATAGTCCTACGGGTACTCGACCCAGTGTAGGCACTTGGGGCACTTCCCCAAGTCCAGGGGCAAAAAGTAAAGTCTCCCTTAGTCCACAGACCCAAGGGGTCTCTTAGGCATAATTTAGACCCACCCCTCAATAAGTCTCCCACACCAGTCAAAAAGGAGAACTTTATTGATTACAAGGGGTAGGGTAAACTAGGGTACAGGATTGAGCAATATCTTAGAAATCCTAAAGAGCAAACAGTCTGGCTGTGGTAGCCTTTTGATAATGCATCTAAATTACTACCAGCTAGATATCTATTAGATCTTGAGTAGCTTACTCACATACTTCTTCCAGAGGCTGATGAGATCCTTTCTAGCATCCGGCTGTTCCTTGTTCATGAGTTTTTGGGGGAAGAGGGCCCTTTCCGATGTTTATGCTCCTCTGAGTCCCCCCCCCTCATGGCTCCAGCCTCACCTCATGGCTGAAGAGACCACCTCCATCCCCCATCCTAACTTATATAGCCCCTGTGACCTCATTCACCTGGGCCAGCGGAGGTCAGCCCCAGTTGGCTGTCAGCCAACCAATTTGAAATGCATCACCTGTTACCGGGCAGATTCCAGCTCCCCAGGTAGATGCCTCTCGCCCAGGTACCAGTCATGTAGGCAGAGGGAGCAGGTTTCCCCCCTCCCTCAGGAATGCAGCCAGCTCAAGTTCCCTAAAGACAGGCTGAGGGTGTGGTCCCCTGTGTGCTGGGCCCATCCTAATTGAATGGTCACAGCACAGAGATTTAAATCACAGTGTCACAGGGCAGAGATTTTTGGGGAGAAACCAAGGTGGCTTTTTGCCACAGGCACCAGCATCAGCAAGCCCTAGATACCTGCCATATATACCTGTTAATACAGTTTAAATTGCCTAGTTCAGAGTGCCTTAGTCTGCATTAACTTTAATGCTCACTCAGTGAAGTTTAATTAGTTTAGACCAAAGCCAAATTTAATTCAGACTGCAGATGTCCACGTGTACATAGTCATGGCTGTAGCCAGGATTAAGCCTAGGAAAACGTAAAGTCTCTAAACTGCCTGAGCATCCTGAAGCACCTTGGGGCAGAATTGCTGTGACCACATACTGCCCTCTAGTGACCAATTTGCACAACATCAAGAGGAGCTGCCCTCCCTCACTCCACACAGAAGGGAATCCCCAGTGGAGCTTCACAGAGGGCAAAGCCAGTGAGCCTGCGCATCTCATTGAACAAGCCTGGGTTCTGCCAGGCCACATTGTGCCAGACCTTCCCAAGGGCCCTGCTACATGTTCAGATTAAAGCTAGACAGAAACCAACTATAGAGTTGTTACACATTTTCAAGCACTAACTTTATAGCTGGTTGGCTCTTTTTAAAGCTGGTCATTTTTGTTCTGTGGTAATAACTTTGCATGTGTGGCTGGTCTAAATTTATTATGCAATTCACTAGTTAATTGTACAATATTCACTTTGCACTTGTTGCTGGCTTTACTTTGCACATGTGGCTGGTCTCAGTTCATTGTGTAATTAACCAGTTAATTATGTAATATATCAATCAGGACTTCTAGTAGAGATGATATCTTTTATTTTACCAACATGATTCAGGCAGTGGAGAAGATTGTAAAAGTTCTCCTAAAACTTGTGTAATATGCAGTATGTAGCAGGGACTTAGAAAAGATGTACAACACCCTGACCTACCATCTCTAGTGATTAACTTATGGGTCAAGGGGAAGACTGCGCACAAAACGAGCACGTTGCAAAGTAAGGGATCTTGGGATACAAGGCAAGAAGGGGCCAGGCCTGTGAGGACAAGTGTAGCCAGCCTGGGTGCAAGCAGGACACCACAGGTATTCAGCTGCAAGTCTGAGGCTTCAAGAGACACCCAGGGGAAGAGGAGAGACCACGTCTCAGTGGCAGTCACACTAGGGCAAATGGGAATAATGCAAGGCCCCATTTCCACTACTTTGCAGGCTTTCTTCACTGTCCCGGCGACCTCACCTACAAGCCCGCCAAGGAAACCCCGCGAATATCAGCATGGTCCTACTCCCACGTGTGACACATGTGGTCTCCCCCGGCTGCCAATCCTCTGCACGGCCCCCAGCGCTCTCGCCCGGGAAGGGCTCGTTACCATGGGAACCCCCAGCCTCAGCTAGACGCCTGCTTCCGGCCGCCGCCCCACCATGCATTGCGCTCTAGGCCCGCTGGAGCCTTCTGATTGGCGGAGCTCAGGGGAGCTACCACCGCCCCCCCCCCCGAGCGGCAGCGGCAGGGAGTTTGCTTCAGGCTCAGAAGGTGCTTTGGGCCGGGAGCTGCGCGGGCGTGATGCGAAGGGGATACCGTACTGACTCGCTCCGTTTCTTTCCCCCCTCACAGGGCGGCCGCGGTGAAAGCCCGCTTGGCTCCTAACCCCCCTGTCCTCTGCTGATGGTACGGACGTAGAGGCAGCCTCGGACCTACTGGGACGTACCACCCACTCGAAAATAGAGGACGACCGGAGCTCTACTGGGGAGGCGTGGATTTGTGCCCCCCCAATCCCGCCTCACATAGTTCGCTCCACTCCCCCACACGCCTCCCGCCGCAGTTTAATGCCAACCCGGCAGCTAGACCCGCCGTCTGCCTTCTCTACCAAACCTGCTTCTCACCGCCTGCTCCTATTGGCTTGCCGCGGCTCTGATATGCAAATCTAGCGGCCTCCGCGACCAGTGGGAGACGGGCCGCTGATTAATTTTCCCGATGGCGGGCGGCGATTGGGTGTTTGATCTCCAGCCGCCGGGCCAGCGGGGTAGGCTGCCCGCTCGTGGCGACAGCGGCAGGAAGAGGAGGGTGGCATGTGCGGCGGGGCGGGGCTGTGCTGTGCTGAGTGCAGGCGCCGGGAGCCGGAGATGGTGGGAGCCGGTGCCCGCTGCGGGCCGAGGGCGGCCCTGCTGCTCGCCGCGCTGCTGGGGGCGGCGGCGG